AGAGGTCACTCAGTATTATAGACTCTAGTTCCATCCAGGTTGCTGCAAAATTCATGATTTTGTTCCTTTTTATCACTCTATAAAAAAGATACCTGCACATGTAAACAGCAAGAACCTGGAAGCAACCATGCTACCCAACAAAAGAGGACTGGATTAAAAAATGTGGTGCCGGGCTCAGTGGCTCAGCCTGTAATCCCGCGCCTTTGGGAGGCTGAGGTGAGTGGATTGCCTGAGCCTGCAGGTTCGAGACCCACCTGGACAACGAGACCTCATCTCTACAATAAATCAAAAATTCAGCCGGGCGTGGTATCGTGCGCCTGTAATTCTGGCTACTCAGAAGGCTGAGGCAGAAGGATCGCTGGAGCCCAGCAGTTCGAGGCTGTGGTGGCCGGGAGCGGCCACTGCACTCCAGTCTGGGCGACAGAATGAGACTCCAACTCAAAAAATAAAAGTGGTACATATACACGATGGAATACTACGCAGTCATAAAAACAGGCCCATTTCAATAGCTATGACTCAATTTCTGCAAAGCCTGCAAGTTACTCTTGTTCCCTTTTTCTTTTCTAACGTTAGCCTGGTGCCTTTAGGCACAGGGACACTCCCCTCCCCAACCTGCTACTTACCGGCTCTCCATCCTTCCCTTTCCCAGGAGACCCAGGGAGTCCAGGAGCACCAGGCTCTCCCCTGGGGCCAGCTGACCCTGGGCTCCCTTCTTCCCCTGCTGTTCCCTGGAAAGAAAAGTAAACATTTTCCTGGATCAATGACATGCGGCATTAAGTTTTTCAATGGTAAACCAGCCTGAGTAGATTAGTGGGTTTCCTGGGGGTGCCTTGACTGTTTTAAGAAGCCCATACCTTCTGGGAGCACAGAAAAATAAGCCATATAATGTGTGTTATAGATTGAATTGTGTCCCTCAAATTCATATGCTGACATCCTAATACCTCGCACCTCCATGATCAGATGTAATTAGTTTAGTTAAAATGAGGTCATATTGGAGTATGATCTTCCTATGGGCCTAATCCAGTATGACTGGTGTCCTTTAATGAAGGAGACATTTGTACACAGACATGCAGAGTGAAGACGCTGTGAAAACACAGGGACAAGACGCCATCAATAAGTCAAGGAGAGGGGCCTGGAAGAGATCTTTTCTTCACAGTCTTCAGAAGAAGCCAGCCCTGCTGACACCTTGATTTAGGATTTCTGGGCTCCCGAAGTGTGAGATAATAAATTTCTGTTGCTCTGGCCATCCAGTTTGTGATACTTCCTTACGACAGCCTCAGTAAATTAATTCAATGTGGAATATGGAAACGGAAAAGCGACGGCCTTCCAACCCATGTGGGAAACCTATCCAGTGCATTTCTTACAGATAGGCCTCCATTTCTGCTTGAACTCGTCTGGGAGTAGAAAGCTCATTCCTCTTCCGGGTTGTTCATTTCTTTATCAGGCAGTTCTGTTCTACAGCATTTATTTACATTCAGTCAAGACAGCCCTCTCTAAAATCTTCCCAGCATTTGACAATCTCTTCCCTGGAATTCTGTAGACAAAATAATATCCCTCTTTACAGATAGATCTTTAACGATAAGAATATAACTCAGGGATCCAAAGGAGAGTGAGAGGTAGAGAAGGAGAGGAGAGGGCAACAGAGGAGGGGGGAGGGGAGGAGAGGAGAGGAAAGGAGAGGAGAGGGGAGGGAAGGGGAGCGGAGGGGAGGGGAGAGGGAGAGGAAGGAGGAGGGAAGGAGAAAGAGGAGGGAAGAAAAGAGAGAGAAGAAAGGAGAGAGAAAGAGAGAGGGAGACTGAGAAGGAGAGAGAGAATGAGGGGGAGAGAGAGAGAATAAATGAGAGTATGCCATGGAGCTGGGCTTTGAGCTTGTTCCAGGCCAGTGGTCACCTTTTCTGAGCCCAAGGCTATGAGCAGACCTTGAGGTGGCCCTGGCTATGGAATATTGGGTTGAACCAGAGGGACTCCTTCTCCCAGACAGGGCTTTCTTGGGCCTAAGCTGCCATCTGAATGTCTCCAGATCTTCTCAGATAGAGAGGTAAGGTCAGATGAATCAAATATGGGGAAAGCAAGGAATGGAGAAGGCCTCTCTCCAAGTCTAGAGCAGGGCCAGCTTCCCGTAGCCCCAGGGCAGTTCCCGGACATGGTGCAGAAAGAAAGAACATGTCAGGAATTTTTGCTGATTTGGAAAGAGCTGGTTGTTCCCTTCCAAATAAGCCCTGGGCCAGGAACTCTGCTCAGTCAAGGAAAGGTGTTTGGCGCCCTCTAGAGGCTAAATGTGCCAAATGCTCACTGCTTTGAGTTTTGTTTTTTGTTGTTGTTGTTGTTGTTAATTTTTAATTTTAAAGATGTGGGGTACAATTCAGGGTTAGGTATACAAATGTTCATTATACAGGTACCCTTTCTGATGGGATGTGCCCCATTCCCTTGGCAGTTTCCCACTACTACCAATCCCACCCTCCCCTCCCCTCCCCTGGCAGTTTTCCACTACTGCTTTTTGGGTTTTTGAATGTGTGACTCCACACATTCTCCTCTCCTCCTAGGTTGTCAATACGCTACTCATAATGTGCTCTTCTTCAGACACAGTTTAGTCAAGGAATAGCAGAATGGGCCAGGATTTTTCTTCCTTGTCTAATCTGGGCAGTCTAAGATGTTATTGTATTTTTTTAAAAAATAATTTTCGTACCTGCATCACATAAGGGTGATTATTAAGCTTATGATCAGCTCACACTCCAAAAACCCAAGATATTTTCCACATATTAGTTGGTCATTTTTCTCTGCAATAAATTCTTTTGTCCCTGACACATGCATTTTAAAATTAAGCCTTTCCACCAAAAGGCAAATCACATCTACTCTTGTTAAATTATGCAAAAATATAAAAGATAAAGTGATCACACCTTTAAATGGTTCCAGGCAAAGTAGACTTGAAATAATTTGTTTTAAGACGTTTGGACACTTGTATGCGAGGAGGAACCTCTGCTCTCTGCGGACAATCAGGAATGGTGGAACCCTGGGATGCCTGGCCATGAATGTGAGCATGATCTGTTCACCCAGGGAGGACAGGCAGAACCATGATCGCTCCCTCACCACCAATTGTCTGCTGATCCCATTGCACGAGCCTTCCTAGTTCTTTAACTAATCGTAATAAACGTGGGATCAACATATCATCATCCCCATTTTGTGGATTAGAAAATGTAGTACAAAGAGAGTGTCCTTTATTTAGATCAGGGTTTTTAAATCTTGTATCTATATCAACACTCAAGGATGACCCTTCTTACTGGGGGGGGTATTCTGGTGCACTGTGGGGTTTTGAGCAGGAGCAGAATCCCTGGTCTCTACTCACTGATGCCAGAAGCAGCCCTCTTCCCCCTCCCACCCCACCTCCATCCCCGGCCCAACCCTCACCAGTGGTGAAAACCAAAAGTATTTCCAGACATGTCTGTGCAGGGGGAAGAGGGGCAAAATTATCCCCAGTTGAGAATCACTATTGTCACCCTAGTTTAGATCCACACAACTAAGATAGGGAAACTGGCATTTGACTCCGGTTTGAAGTCCGCATATCTCCCCTGCCTCATTCAAATGAATAGCTCAGATTTTCCAAGCATTGGTTCAGTATCACCAAAAAACTTCAGAGAGTTGCTAAAGTTCCAGGTCAGAGAAATGTGAAATGGAATTTGAAAGGGTGTGGATTCTCCCCCTCAGCCTATGGGATTTCTTTTTTATTTGGGGCAGGGGCATCATGTCTCTCTTCTTCCTAAAGATTTAAACCAGAGGTCCTCAAACTTTTAAAACAGGGGCCAGTTCACTGTCCCTCAGACCGTTGGAGGGGCTGACTATAGTTTAAAAAAAAACTATGAACAAATTCCTTTTTTTTTTTTTTAAACTATAGTCCGCCTCTCCAACAGTCTGAGGGACAGTGAACTGGCCCCCTGTTTTAAAAGTTTGAGGACCCCTGATTTAAACAAACATAGCTTGGAAGGGTCTGATTGTGAAGTACAGGGGTGGAATGGATAAGTTGGTGCATTGAGAGAAAACAAAATCTGGAGTCAAATAGACCTAGCTCTGCAATTCACCAGCTATAAAACATAGGGAAAATTAATTGGTCTTTCAAAGCCTCAGTCTCCACATTTGTCAAATGGGCATTCATCTGATTCACAGGTCTGATACGAGGATTAAATGAGACAATGAAATGTCATTGTCTCCTCCTCTCTCCTCTTACACAGGAAGTCCCTTCTGATTCCTGAGTCCTAAACTAAGCCTGAGCAGAGCGAGCTCCTCCTTCATTGCCTGTAAGAAGTTGAGAACAGATGCAGAGAGACTGCATTGGTCTTACCTTCTCACCACGTTCCCCATCTTTCCCAGGAGGACCTCTGGGACCAGGGGGGCCCTGTGGATAAAATGGTTATTGATATGGTGAATTTCAAGAGTGAGGGTCACTCTTGATGGCTGGTGATCCCTAGCTAAGGGCAATCAGGTTCTGCATTTGGTCAATGATTACAGCCTCCACCCGTTTTTCATCCCTGACTTAAATTCCCCCAGGCATGTCTCCTCCCTTCTGTGATAGCTGCTCCCCCCTGGGTCCAGCAGTGCACTATGTACATCAGAGCTCTTAACAGCATGGCCTGCCCGAAGATCTGCCTCCCCCTCTGGTCTGCGAATGAACATCCAGGGAGGACAAGGATGACTTAAGAACACAGGCTTAGCCTCGGAGCACCTGCCCAAAAGTGTCTTTGGAGTCCCCCAGAGGTCGATGTCGAACCAAGGTTCAAGTCCAAGTGTCCCATGGATACACCGGTGGGAAAATAGGGAAGTGAGAAAGGGAGAAACAGGAAGCTAGGAACACATCTGTGAGCCATGGTGCTCAGTCCTGATGGGGACTCTCGGGATTACTGCACCTGAGGACAGAGAAGCTGGGCTACTCATACTCGTGGCTCAGGTCTGCTTCTGGTGGTGCTGCCGGCCACTGGTCATGGGGCTGGATAACATGCCCTCTAAATGCCAGAGAAGACCCTCAGGTGAAAGAATGCAGGGTGGGCTGCTGGAGGTTGACACACGTATGAAGTAGGAAGAGCAAGGCCATCGTACAAGGCTCCAGTTGCATCTACGGCAACCACTTATTACATGACCCAGTCAGTCTCTCTGTGTCTCAGTAAAACAGGCAATAATCATATTCCTTTAACAGGGTCATTATGAGGATTAATTTAACTAACACAGGGAATGTGTTTAGAATTGTACCTGGAATATATAAATGCTCGGTCCTCTAAACTATTGTGAGTGTTACCTGCAAAGTTTTAATGAATGAACAGAACTGACCCAAATTTATTATGGAGGATATAATCATCGTTGCCTTTGACTGGGTGTCATTAGGTGTCTCACTGAACAATGTTCACATCTAAATCAATGTTTATGGTGAACCTTAAAGCTATTTCATCAGCAGACACCTTGAGCCTCCACGGGAGAGAGGCAGAATCTCTGCATATCAAGGGAGGTGGTACCCTAAAAGTAAACCAACTCAACTCATTGTCTCCACTTTGCAGATGAGCCATCTGAGACCTCAAGGAGCGGCTTGCCAAGGTCATAAATCCAGTTAACAGAAGAGCTGGGATCAGAATCTAGGTATCCTGATGGTCAGTCAGGGTACCTTTGACTTTCTCATTTTGTTTCTTCTAAGGCATACTATGATGTGGATTCCAACATTAGTGAAATGTACAGACTTTCTGTAGTTATGACAATTTCATTCACCACCTGGAGATCTGTCTAGAGTCCTAGGTTTGCTAACTTTCTGGGTGGTCTTTGTCAGGACAGCAGTGTCTTCATCTGTAAAATGGGAATCGTGATGCCAATACCTCTGGTTTTCAGGGAGGATAACGAAGTCCATAGCCAATGTTAGTATCCTTGCCCTCTCCCAATTACTCACCAAACTTCCTGGGGGGCCACTGGGACCAGGGGGACCTACATGTCCAGGAGCACCCTGTTCAGAGACAGAAGTTTAGAAAGACCAGATGTATTCATTCTAAGTACTTGTTCACAGCTGCCCTCCAAACTTGCCTCATACTCAATTCACTGTAATTTTGGGGAACTGCTTCTGACTGGATATCCCCTCCAGAATATAAACCTCCTCCAGCTGAGTACTGTAGATCCCAACAAGCCAAGCCTCAAATGAGTGGGCTTCTGGCGCAGAACTGGGAGACAAAAAGGCAGAAGGTCCCTAGACAAAGTTCCTTAGACTAAAGCACCGAGTTAAGCTGCATGTGTAGACTTGTAGAGGACAGGGCAGAGAGGAAGGCCAAGCCCTAATCACAGCCAAGGTGAGGTTCAGCCCATATCCTAAGTCCACAGGAGAAAGGAAACAATGAAAATGAAACAGTCAGATGTGCATTGTAGATAAACACTCTGACATAATGAAGATGGTTGGTTGTAAGGGCATAAACAGGCCTTGAAGAACAGAGGGACAGTAGGGCTGGACAATGACTGACCAGGGTACTCACGGGAGGAGGCATTCTTGGAGAATGCTGGAAAAGGAATGACTGAGGGAGGGAGAGGAGGAAGTTCATGGGAGATTGTCTGAAAGACCCTTAAAAACTGCTTCAATCTGGGTCACACTGAAGATGCTGCTATTTACAGAGAGAAGACAACCAGGTGGGGGAGCGGGTGTGTGTGTGTGTGTGTGTGTGTGTGTGTGTGTGTGTGTGTTGGCATTGACTGGAGAATCAGGAATCAGGGAAGGCTTTCTGGAGGAAGTGGATTTGAACTAGAACTTGATGTTAGGTAATGATCTCTGAGAGGAGATGTGGGTGAGGACATTCCAGATGTGTCAAATGGGGAAGCTGAAAGCTCTAAGTACTGGAAGCTGCTCGCGTTTCTTCCAGGACTTGTTACCCATTGTCACGGGGTTTTGTACATCTATGAGGTCAGGAATCATGGAGCATGCGCCCAGCCTTCTTGCGTTCACTCTGAATCCATTCTCTTCTAGGCTGGGCAGGGTCCAGCGCTATCTTCACCATCTGGCCCACTTTGTGGTAGTCACACTGGTCACCACCTTCCTTGCTGACCTGGTTCCCACTCGGCTGTGTGCACAGACAGCTGAGCCATGTCAGCACACTCCAGCCCGTACACCCGGCCTGTGGTCCTAGGAGCAGCCTGGGTGCCTGCTGCTTCTGTTACCCTTTCTCTTGCCACCACCACTTCCTGGAAGCCCAGAGGGGAGTCAGCTCATCCTGCCTCCCACCAGCTCCCGGACAAGCCTGAGCCCTGCAACTCCACACCATGAGAAATAACTCTGATCAGTCCCAGGGACACATGCCAACCCCTCCAAGATCAAACATACCTTGGATCTGGCTCCTAGGATGGGCCGGCCGGAAGCAGCAACAGGAGGTGTGTGCAGGGAGGTGTGCGTCTGTGTGTGCACCTGACTGCAACTCTGTGTTTGGGAGCGTGTGTGTGTGTGTGTGTGTGCATGCGTGTATCTTAGGGGTGTGTCCTTGGGTTTTTGGAATGCGTGTGTGCGACTGTGCAGGTGGGCTCACTTCTCAGAGTGACACAGGCTTGTGTGTGTGTGTCTGCCCCCTGGGATGGGCACAGGGACAGAACTGGGAGATACTAAGAGCATACTGGAGGCCAGAACCCCTTTCTTTGTGCTTTCCCTGGCTAACTACTCAAGTGGTGGGTTGCACCCACATGGCCATGTTGCCCCTCGTTGGCCCAGAACTGTGAGCCAAGGAGCAGGGCCACCCTTCTGGGGGATCCCCCATGAGACAGACGGGTCACAAGGACTCACAGGGCTTCCAGCTGCTCCGGGGGTCCCATGTGTGCCTTCCTGTCCCTTGGCACCCTGCATAGGAAATAAAAGGGGGAAAGGTAAGAGACCATGGCAATGCTGTCCTCCCCCTCATGACAGGAAGGTCTCAGGGACACCTTGCTCATCAGAAGCAGCTGATCTCAACTGAAGAGACAGGGAACACAGTCTTTATGTGGAGAAATCCACCATTTCATGGCCCCCAGCTGGAGCCTGGCTTGTCATGATTTTTTTTCTGCCCAATAGTTTAGGTGTCAGCAAGGACCCTTCCAGTAAACCAGGCTTGGAGAGGCAGGGCCACTAGGGCTCACACAGCCAGCCAGATCACTCCAGCAGATCTCCCCACAACACCACAGAGCCACCCAGAGAACCAAGATTCAGTGAAGAAGCTAAAATCGAAGAAAATTAGCAAAAGCAAAGCGCTAATGCACATCAAGTGTCACTTGAACCAGAGCTGCCGATCAAGGCTGGGAAGCGATTTCTCACTCTGGAAATTCTTTGGGAACCCAGAACGCCCCACATGCTGAGGCCACCACATTCAGTCACAGAGTAGGGACAGCCAGGGGTCTAGAGGCAGGGCCCAGACCTGGTGGCTGTGTTTGGGGCCATTTTTCTGAGGGCCACTCAGCCCTGGCGTCCCCTGACAGGTATTTCCAAAATGCCAAGCAAGAAAGCTGGAGGGGCTGGCCTGGAGGGGGACAGAAGGGTGGCTGGAATTTCCAAGTCTCTGAGCCAGCAGGTGAAGAGAAGATTTCTTACCGGGTGTCCAGTGGGTCCCTGAGGCCCCGATTCTCCAGGACGGCCCTGTGGTCCCTGCAAAAAAATCTCATCAGGAATCATCTCATCCCCTAGTTCTGGGAAGATGGGGTGGGTGGGGACACATGCAAGAGATATAAAGTGAGATCCATGGAGGAGACACTGCCAGAGACCTAAGGAAGGAGGATGGGGCACACTGGGCTCAGAAAGCACCTGTGGGGGACTATGATTCGGACCTAGACCTGGTCATCCTTGGGGACTTCTGGTCTCCTGGTAACAGGCTTTGAGGGGATGTAAGGCTGGGGAGGATGAGGGAAAATGGAGGTGCAGAGGGTAGAGGGTACTCACTAGTTCCCCAGGCACCCCTGGATCGCCTTTCTCTCCTTTTGGCCCTCGTTCTCCCTGTTGGAGAAAAACACAGGGTGCAGCTGGCTTCAGCGCCACTTCCCCACTTTGCATTGTGTGTGTCCCATCAGTTCTGGCCACACAGGCCACCTCTAGTCCTATGAGCGCACTGGTTGATCCCCCCACAAAGCTTTCCCCAGACTCTTCCCTCCCAACTCCCCTTGAACTCTAACTGATTCTGACTCATCTTTTAGATCTCAGGTCAGGAATTGCCTCAGGGACGCTGAACCCCAAACTGGGCCAAGTCCCTATTCTAGATGCTCTAGAGTACAGTGTCTTTCTCCTCCTTGGACTCTGTTATGGCTGCATTTTTATACATAGTTTTGTGGTTCGGTTCATGTTCCCTCCAGCTCAGAGCCTGGCACATATTAGATCATCAATGAATAACAACGGAGATTATTCTGGGAGGAGAGAGAGTCTTTCAGATCCCCAGGCCCAATATTTTCTTATTTATTTATTTATTTATTTTAGAGATGCTGTGTTGTCCAGACTAAACTCGATTTCCTGGGCTCAAGCAACCCCCCCGATCAGCCTCCTAGGTAGCTGAGACTATAGGTATACGCCATCATGACCAGCTCCAACCCCTTTTTTAAAAGAGAGGCTGAGGAGGGGTGCTTTGCTAGGGGAATCCAACTCTCTGGGAATAGATGTGAAGCTTGAACCCTGGACTCTGGCTGACCAGAATGATATGTCTAACTTTTTGTTGAAGAAGAGACAGGTCACAGGCTGGACAGGCAGTGCCCTGGGCATTCTTAGGATGGCTCACACCTTTGAGACTGCCACAATGGGGTTCCCAACAACTTCTCAAGAAGGTTAGAGGGACATGAGGTCCTTTCCCCACAATTCATAAGGGACAAGGTGAGCCAACAGGAGTCTTGGGAACAGCTCAAGGGCTCAGATACATGTCTTTCCACAGCTGAGGAGCCATCTTGCAAGAGAGGAGTGGGAGACAGTGGCGCATGGTGGGAACAGTCTCAGCTTTAGACCCATACAGACTGACTTGAGCCCTGAGTCTCTGACTCACTGGCCACACAACTGTGGGCAAAGTGTTACCCATATTGACCTCAGTTTCCGTTTCTCCAAAGTTCTGTTTTTTACATAGGATGAAGCTTGATGGCACATAAAAGGTACAACAGAGATAAGACACCGAAGGGAGAGCAAAAGGGTCAGTGGAGCTCTGCAGGAGCGCAGATAGCAGCCAAAGCATGTGCATCCAGAAGGGCTGTGTGCATTCCTTTCTCAAAGAGTAGGACCAAAAAAAAAAAGAGCAGGACCTAGTACCGTCTAAAATTCCCGCAGGTTACTTAGGGAGACATTTGGCTTCCCATCCACAGAGAGGCCCAAGAGAGCTGAGATGAGCATCTGTCTTGAAGGTAGAGGAGAGTTCACATAGGTAGGAACTTCTCAAACAGAGGCTTTGGAGAGCAGGACATGTGAAAAGGACCCTGGGTGTATCTCAGAAGCAGACTCTAATGTCTAAGTTAGAGCCTGGGTGGACTAGTCCCAAACCTTTACTTGATGGAGCAACAACACAGAATGACACTGCCCACTGAAATGTCACATCATTTTCTCTATCCATACATGGGAAAATGTTAGGGATCTTTCCACTATGGCTCCTGCCTGTCCTTCCCCTCCCAAACCTCTCTCTGATACCCCAAATGGCAACTGCATGACTTTAGCCTGGCTTCCTCACTCTCTCAGCATCACCCATTGTGTGGAATTTACTTGATCTACCTTGTAGAGCTGTGCTCTGGATTAAATGAGATTGCTTTTGCAAAGTGTTTTGTGGTGCCTGACCCAGAGAAGATTTCAGCAGATGTCAGTTCATGCCTTCCCCTAGAATCTCCATTGCTGATAAACTTAGAAGAACACATCTACCCTTGGACTGTGACCTGGATTGTGATGCGTCTGTGACCCAGAGTCAATGAGATTGCTTTTGTGGAGTGTTTATGGTGCCTGACACAGGGAAATATCAATAGATGCCCGCTCATACCTTTTCCTAGAATCTCCATTGCCAATAAGCTCAGAAAAACACATTCACCATGGACAATGATACCATTATTTTAAGCTGAGGACCCATGGGTGCTTAGGCCAGGCCAGAGGAGAACCAAGATGTTCAAGACATTCCTGCCTGGCAGGGACCTGAGAATCATCAGGCAGCACTTTCCCTGCGGGGGCACAGGGTAGGGGCCCTGTCAGTAGTTCTCGAATGCATGAGTGTGGCTGGCTTCTTTCTCCCCCCGACCCCAGTATCCCAAGGTGACCTCAGTTAAGTCATACACCATCACTGGACTCAGTATAATCTCTGCAGGTTTAGAGAGTTGCCTGGGGTCCTGGAAGACTCCTTAGCAGGATAAGGGAGTAGAATCAGGCTGCCTCAGACAGAACCTTCCCAAGATGGCCACTTCTGAGCCATTTATAGTTACAAAGCCCTTCTTCAGCTTTCCACTGTAACATCCCCAAGCCCAAGGCTGCCAGTCCCTCCTTCCTCCAGCTAAGGAATGGGTTCGCTGACCTACCTGACATCTTCAGACCTCAGGGATCTGCACACCATCTGTTCTCTATAAACTGCCGCCACCACACCACCCCATCCCCAGGTGCAGTCACCAGCCATCCCCACGAGCTTCCTCAATCCCAGAGGAGGAAGAAAAAGGAGTAGGGCTTTTCCCTCCACCTCTTCTTCCCATTTCTATTCTCTTTCTTCGTTTTGCAGCAAACTTTAACACTAAATCTTCCTTTCCTGGCCTCTTTCTGCACTGCAGGGATGCAACGTAACATGCCTAAGAAGAGCAGGAAGAAGTCAAACAGAATAACACTTTCCAGATCCATCAATACAAACACGGTTACCATGGCGACAAAGTCAGACCTGGAGAGACTCATGCAGTTGCCTGCAATGAAACTTTTTTTTCCCCCATAGACACAATTTCCTTCCTCTGCATCTGAGAGTGGCTTCCTGGCTCCCACAAAGCTGCAATCCTGCAGGAAGAATGTCAGCACTGTGGGGATCCAAAGGGGAGGGTAGGTCAGGCCTCCAGCACCCCTTCATGTGCCCTCCCAGTGGAATATTCTGGAAACTGTTTTTTTATACAGCAATTCTTTCATGGGGAGGCTGGGCGTCTAGGTCCATCTGAAGCTTGAGGGGCTCAGGGTGGTCATGAGGGAGGGAGACCCACAGATGCTAGGAGCACGGGAAGGCAGTACCTATAGGCAGTCCAAGAAGAGGGAGATGAGGAGTGGAAGCGTCGGATAGTGTGATGGGGAGCCCGCCTTCATGTGACGGCTAGCCTTGAGCAACAGCAGGGACAGTCACTCCAGGCAGCACGTCATGACTGAGATTAGCTCTATGTCTCAGGTAGGGCCTCTGCAAGTTCCATAGTGTCTCTGAGCTACAGAATCATCTCCTGTGAAATGGGCACAGGTGCCCTTTCCTCAAGGCCAGCCTGAGCGTTGGCTGCATAAGTGCGAGGAAAACACCCAGCGCTGAGCTGTCGCATCTACTGTTGTGGTGCATGTCCGCATAGAGCCCTTCTCTTGAGAGAGCGGGGAGAGGCCAGGGTGGTAAATAATTACGGGATGTGTGTGCAACTTAGGCAGTGAGCACCTGCCTTTGTAAGAGCTAAGCAGAGCTCTCAGTGTTTTATGTAAAGTGCAAACACTTGATTATTTGCATTTCATTCTGAAAGTGAGCTTCTGTTGTTCCAGTTTTATATTGGAGAAAACCAAGGCTCAGAGAAGAAACGGACAAGGGCCATGTTTGGGGATGAAAGGGAGTCGGGCAGTGCCACCTAGTGGTGGCCATTTTACTCAGTGACAAGGAAGGCATCTTTTACAGGGGGCCTTCTTTCTCTTGAGGAAGGGGACACAGCCAGGGCCTCTCGCCCCTGTTCTTTCCCACAGACACTTCTCAACACCTTCTTTTTGAAGTCCATGCTGCTCTAGGATACCCACCCACCTTCTCCCTGTTTCACCTCCCAAGCTCAAAACCCTCCTTTCTCCTGCAATGATTTCAGCTCAAACTCATTCCCTTTACCTGCTTTGTTCTTTTCTAACACATACAAAATTCCTTTTGGCTTTCAAATTGTATCTACTTAACATTGAAGAAATAAAGACAGAAACTGCTGAAATTTAGATCCATGCCAGCCTCTCACTGTCTTGCATCATTATGGAGCGGTAGGTGGAGTCCTAAGAACAGAAGAACTGCATCTGAGATAGCAATAAAGACACGTGTTCTGGCCACAGTGTTGCCAACAGCATAAAGATATTCTAAAAACACTCATTTTTAGAAGAGCCATTCATGAAAAGAGAAAGAAAAAAGGTTTTAGAGGTTGTAGTGATGATAAGCTTTATTTTCCACCAGGTATTTTAGTGTCTACAGGAAGCCAGTTCAGTTCTTTCTGCATCTGCCATCTCCAAAGCTACAGATGCTGGCTTCAGGCCCTCAAATGCCCTCTCTTGAACCTGTGTCCTCTCTCAGTAGCACTTTTGTCACTGGTCTTCTTCATTGCCAACATCCATGGAGATTATCTTTGCCCCCCCCCCCAACTCTTTAATGTTCTGGCACTCAAATAATTCTGTTCTCAAAACCATCAGCAACAATCTGTGTACTGAAGGATTAATTTAACCTTGGCCTTTACCCTGGGTTACTGGGAAGTGACCTCTAGGATCCTGCTTGACATTGGAGCCAGTTCCTTGTAGGGTGTTTTCCAGCCTGTTTCCAGGACAAGTATGATGAGGACAAGAGTCATCACCCCACCCATTCCTAGCTCCCAGATCACACTGGACACTGCCAGGCTGAGGAGCACCAGACACACCAAGGGGCTACTGCTACTTACTGGTATGCTTGGGTGTGGTGGGAACAGGGATGTCTGAAAAGAAAAGCACAGAAATTAGAAAGACGGAAATCAATGCACCCCAAGGTTTCATTTTAAAAACCTGCCTCTTAGAGATTTACCAAGTGAAGAATACAGCCCCAAAGTTTCCTTTAACTATTATTAGTTTTGACAGTTAGAATCACACCTTTATTTAAAATCCTTGGACATATTGGTGGTAAGATTTGGGAGCCCAGAAGTTACAAGGCTGAGCTCCACACCCTGTGCAACCTTGGACATCTTCTGTCAATTTCTATGTCCCCAACGATAAAATGGAAAGGGAAAAACAAATATTTCCCTGAGGGTGTGCTGAAGCCCAAAGAGAATAATCTATGCACACCATTAGAGCTGTGTCTGTACTCCATGCATGCCAGAGAGCTGTGCCTGAAATTCATGCACGCTATTAGAGTTGTGTCTGAAACACTGGATTTGTGCCTTGACATCTTTTCAAGAGTACCATCTGCCATGTGCCAGGCAAAGATGTGGGTGCAGAGGAGACCAGGCTAAGGGGCCCAAACTCTGGCTCAAAGGGAGCCCAGTTTACAAAAATCCCCCATGGAGTGGCCCCTGCAAAGACCTCCAGTTTTACCCTCTTCCTCTGCCCCCGAGCTGTGTTTTATACTTCAAAGGTGTTATTCCTTATCCAGTCTCAAAGATATTGCAAATGATGTTCCTCAAACCTGGAACACACTCTTCTCTCCCTTTTTCTAACTAAGGTCCACCCTTCAGGTCTCTTTTAAATGTCCTGTATTCCAAGATCCTTTCCCCTCCAACACTCAAATATAAATTAGGTTTCCTTGTTATTCTCATTAGCTGCACCTTGTTCCTCTTCCTTGAGCGCATCTACTATAATTTACAATATATGTTTATCTTAGTCATTCTATAACTAGAATTTATCTCCTCTTGGCTGTAAGCTCCATCAAGTCAGAACCATGCCCATGCCTGGATCCCAGCAGGAGCTTAAAAGAAATAGTGAATACAAAAAAGGGCGCCTTGGATGCTAGTCCTAGAACACAATGTATATAAAGAAGGAGGGAAAAAAGAACTTCCTCTACCCTGTCCTCCATGCCCTTATTCCCAGCATCTTCTCCAGAAGAAACCACTGTTTTTTAATTTACCACATTTTGAACCCTTTCCTATATATTTCCACATGATTGTGAATGTATAGAAATGCATAACTTTGTGGGAGTTATACAAATAAAACAGCGAATATATTGTTCCATACAATCATTTACAGGCATTAGCTCATGGTACTCATCACCATCACTCTAAGAGGTCCATTATCCTTTTCTTCCCTGCTTTATGGATAAGCAAATCATAGGATGAAGAAGTAAACCTTAATGAAGGTCTTGCTGCCAGTGAATGTTACGACTGAAACTAACATTGAATAGGTGGGCTGAGGAGCTGTGATCATCATCTCTCAATACACACTGATCTACTATTTGATTTTTTCTATTTCATTTGTCTTGTTCCACTTGAGTACCAGCATTTTTTCATTTTCCCATATATGTATTGTGTGTATTAATTCATAAAATAGAATTCTATTGTTATTATTATTATTATTATTATTTTGAGTAGAAGTCTCTCTCTGTTGCTCAGGCTGGAGTGTAATGGCATGATCACTGCTACCACAACCTCGACCTGTTGGGCTCAGGGAATCTTTCCGCCTCAGCCTTTCAAGAAGCTGGGAACTACAGGTGCACACCACCAAGCCTGGCTAATTTTTTTAATTTATTGTAGAAACAAAGTCTTGTCATGTTGCCCAGGCCGATCTTGAAGTCCCAGGTTCAGGCAATCCTTTTGCCTCAGCCTCCCAAAGTGCTGGGCTTACAGGCGGAAGCTACCACACCCAGACTTAGAAAAGAATTACATAGATGTTTTATGGTTTACTTAATTCTTTGCTTATGGTCTTACAGTTTGTTTCTAATCCTTCATTGTCATAAGCATCGACTACAATGTACATCCTTGTATGTGCTTTTCAAAATGCACACATGCAAACATTTCTCAAAGCTAGATGCCTAGACAAGGACTATCCAAGCTAACAGGTAGGCACTTTGTGGTGTATTGACACTGCCAAGAAACTTCTCAAGTAGGTGTGGCATATCTGATTTGTTCTCCCACCAGAAGGGTATGAGGGTGTATATTTCCCTGGACATCTGCCAACAGGAGATGTTACCAATCTTAAGCAAAAATTTGATATAACTAATTCTGTTTCTACATTTATGTTTCTGTGATTCTCCCAACATCCTTACAGAATGTCTGAGTTCTGTTTTGATGGGGAGGAGATTGAGCTGTGAAACAATGATTTCACTTTGATAAAAGCCATAGAGTCATATTCTTTGCCACACTGGAAATGGGATATCCAGTGCAGGCTCTCTCCTCTCCTGACGTCCCTACTGAGGCATCCCTTGCTGTGGCTAGTAACTGACCAATTCCTGATACACTTGCCCAGTCACATGAAATCACGTGCAACCTCCCTGAAATCAGCTAGTCAAAAGAAAGAATCTGAAGGCTAGGAAAAAATATTAAAAGTAAAAAAATAAAAATAAACTTTTTCATTACAGAATTCTGGGAAATATGATAAACAATAGTAACAGTTAAAAATAGTATATATTATATGCCAGGCACTCTTCAAATATTTTGTATTATTTTAGTTAATTTTCATTACATGTGTATACAACTGCTGTGTATAAGATTTTTAACAGGTGAGAAAACTGAATCTTTTAGAAATTAAGTAACATATCTAAGACCACAATGCTGATGAATGGCAGAGTTGGGAGACAGTCTTTGTGCCCCTAAAGCACATGTTCTTACTGATATTCAACACTTACAACATCTGCCCTGACACCTGCAGAGGGTAGACAGATGAAGTCTAGTCATGGACCATGATATTGCAGTCTTACCTTGGACAAATTGCTTTTGTCTTGGAACCTGTTTCCCCGTATGTAACAGGCATATATGTATTCCCAGTGTCTAGCACATGTCCTGATAAATAATAATTGTGCTTTTGTTGAATAAAATAATCAATAAACACAGGATGGTTCATAGAGAATTTATATCTTTTTAGATTACAAGATGTAGAAACAGGTATGGTTACTGGAAAACTCGAATAAAGCGATATTTATGACTAAGTGGTGTGTGGAGAGGGACTCTCAACACCTCAGAAATTCAGAGAAGCAGAAAGGATTCGAAGCAGAATAACTTACAGTTCCAGGTAACCCAGGGGGGCCTGCTGGACCAGCTTCACCCTAGATGAAGAAATGGGAAATAAATGAGCATTAATCCTCCTGACAACTCTCTGTATGCTGAAACAAGTCTGATGACATTAATTTTCTTTCAGACAACAGGATCACCCACTCTGAGACTACCTTAATAAATATACAGATGGATAGATACATACATACATTCCCAAGTCATAAAAAAAGTCAAATTTATGAAAACATTGTTTTGAGAAGTATCTATATTGATATATTTTGCTGTAGATCATTGCTATCACTATATACTGTTGTACTGTGTATATGGTAATAGTAGCCATCATCCATCTTCCTGTTGGTGACATTTACATTTATAGGCTTCCTCTGACTGCAATTACAACCAGTGTTGATTTGTTACAGTAAATGTTCCCTCACATATATACTAAGCACAATGACCACATTTGAAGGTCAGCTCCCCTAGAGATGCCAGTAGGCCCTACCCCAATCCTGAGTTTTAAAACTCTACCATTTTATAGATGATTTTACCTCTTTGGACTTGTTTTCTCTTTGCAAAACAACCATAATAATAATAATACATACCACTCATAGCACCATATGAGGATTAAATGAGACAATAAGGATTATGGCATTGCTACCCTCTGTCTAAGAAGAGGAATAATCGAGTCAGTGAACACAGTTTCCAAAGTTTGTCATTTCACATGTGCCATATGGTGCCAGGGAATAGGTATCTATACCTAAATCTGTTTCTGGAACCAGCCCTGGATAAGGTCTATTGCAGGTCTTCCAAATATGAAGGAGGAGGAAGTAGAGGCAGGAATATGCAAGGCATAGTCAGAAGGGGGCAATGTTGCCTTAATATGTTATGTTAGGTTTTTTTCGTCAAATCTATTTTTACATATTTCTCTGGAGTAAGAGAAAGGCCAACCCGATTCCTTGGAAGCTTGAATGTGATGCTGCCGTAGCCCTGGCAATTCTGCCCAAGTAATCAAAGGGGCTTTATGATCTTGCTAAGCCTTTGCATTCTGGAAATGAGTTTCTCAAATAGAAATTGCATTTCTGAAAAGTCCACGAAAGCAGTAGGACCGAATGGCTTACCCACGCAAAGCCCCTTCCATTCCAGGATCCCTATTAATAGACCACAAGTCTGTCTAGAGCAAAGCTCTCAGCCTGCAGCCCCAGAGAAGGGGGATGAGAGGCACTGTCTGGAGCCTAGGAAGGACCAGGGCAGAAGGAGAGCTCAAAATTAGAGGCAAGAAAGTAAACTTGGGAAGACTTAGGAGGAAGAAGAATGCAGGGTGCATGTGGGCCATTCCTCAGGCAACCTCAGGGGCAGGCCTGGTTTGTGGCATTGCATTTTAAGAGCCGAGACACTGGATCTGCACTGGCAGGGTTCAGCTCTTGACTCTACCTCACTTAACTTATACAGCCCTGGGCAAGCAATTTAGCTTTATTGTGTCTCGGTTTTCTCATCTATGAAGTGGGAATGTTGTGGATAACAGTGACCTTCACTGGGTTGTCCTGAGAATTCCCTAAGTCCCTATAGAGAGAGTGCTTAGAATAGTCTGCGTAAAATATTTGCCAACTGTATATCTGACAAAGGCCTAACATCCAGGATTTACAAGGAACTCAAATGTGCCTAAAGAAAAAAACCAAACAGCCCCATTAAAAAGTGGGCAAAAGACATTAACAGAAAATGTCTTCAGAAAATAAAATATATGGGCAGCCAACAGACATGAAAAAGTGCTCAGCCTCCCTAATCATCAGAGAAATGCCAATCAAAACCACAATGAGATACCACCTAACCCCAGTAAGAATGGATATTATTGGTAAAGCAAACAACAGATGCTGGCAAGGATGCAGAAAAAAAAGGAATGCTTCTATACTGCTGGTGGAAATGCAAACTAGCACAACCCCTTTGGAAAACAGTGTGGCAATTTCTAAAACAACTAGACATTGACCTTCTATATGACCCAGCAATCCCCTACTGAGAATATACCCAGAGGAACTCAAATCGTTCTACAAAAAAAAAGATACCTGCACACACATGTTTATTGCAGCACTATTCACAATAGCAAAAACATGAAACCGACCATGCTGCCCATCAAAACTGAACTGGATTAAAAAAATGTGGTACATATACACAATGGAATATTACACAGCCATAAAGAAGGACAAACATATGGACTTTGCAGTAACTTGGATGGATCTAGAGTTTATCATACTCAGTGATCTATCACAGAAACCAAGAACAAAGTACACATGTTCTCACTCATAACCGGACCCAGAACAATTATCATAATACTATAAGAAAGGGATTAGCAGTAGTGGGATACTGCCGGGGCGGTCATGGGGAGGGCACGACATCAATACCTGACCCCAAATCTGACAAAGTGGGGACCAAAGGGAGGCCCAGACTTTACCTGTATGATGTCCACTTGTATACCCAATCCTGAGTTGTGCCCCACATCTTTAAAATTTTAAAAATGAATAGTCTGGACATAGTGAATCTAACACAAATCATTCACAGACAGGGTATCACTTATACTTTACAACAGTCCTCAAGGAAGGTGTAGGCAGAACCATTCTTAGGTTAGCAAGCCAGGGCACAGGTAGGTCAGATAAGATGCCACACAGCAGATAAAGCCAGGATTAAAACCCAGGCCACCACACTGACTCCAAGAACAAAACCTTTTCCACTAAACTATAGGCAAACACGAAAACATACATAAAAACACAGGAAGGTTTTAGGGTGTGTGAATACGTGTGTGTGTGTGTGTGTGTGTGTGTGTGTGTGTGTGTTTATAAAGTTGTTGTGGTACTAACAGTGTATTTGGCCTGAGGCTGAGCACAAAACAGCAAGAAAAGCACCTCACACTGTGCTGTGCTGCTGGTGGGATCCCCAAGTCTTTTCATGTCCTTGCCCCCTTGAGAATCTGAGATTACTGAAGGATGGGTCTTGTCTTATTCACTGTTGCTTTATTTGTGACAGCCTAACAGAGGATAAGAGTTCTGTTAATCTTTGTTTAAATAATGACTATCAGAGGAAATGGCTGTGTCTTTATGGGCTGAAAGGGTTAGGGTATGAAGTCCAAGTTAGGATCTATTTAGAAGGTTGATGGTCACCGTGGCTGAAAGCATGTACTCTACAGCCCAACTGTCTTGGACTCTCACCGGCCCTCTGTTCTGGAAGTCTGTAGTTCTATGAGTTTGGGTGAGATACTATATCTCCCTGTGCCTTAGTTCTTGCATTTTTAAAATAAAATTCAAAATGGAGGTTACTTCATAGTACATCATTATAAGGAATGGAAAATTCAAAAACTGCACCTTGCAAAATAGAGCTATAGTACAGAAACCATGACTTCCACAAACACTGTTCAAGCTTACACTGTCCTAGCAAAGGCTCGTCGTACTCTTGTGTTTCACACAGATGAGACCACAGACAAGATTCTCATGCACATATGGTTTCAATGACAATGCCATTCCTGTGTCAAATTTATCAGTGGTTTCCTAGTTGACAAATTTTCACTGAATCCCAGCTTGGGTCCACATGCTGACTCCAGTCTAAAGCTCCCCACAGACAAAACCCCATCATACCTAGGAGTCCGTAAGACTCAGAGGGTTCACATAACCACAGTTAATCAGTCAAAGGGCTCTCTGCCAAGTAGGTCTCTAAAAATTCCATTGTGTTCTTATCAGCACAGATTTCTCTGGGATTGTGACATGCATTGAAACAGAAAAAACACCTACTTGGAGCTCCCAGCCAGGCAGTGTCCTTTGTGCTTGCTTACATTCTGAGTGGGGGCTGCCCTTCTAAGAAGGAGCTAGGACCATGAACCTGATTCCTTAGGAAGTGAAAATAGTGGGGTGATATCTTTGTGCACCAAATTAGGTTCACCATCTTTTCAGTTCTGTTTTTGCAAACGATTGTTGCAGAGGGAATGTATTCATCTTTGTGTGATTTCAAAAGTGTCATTCTCCTTCCTCACATCTGCCAATGTGGTGCTGAAGGCAAACAGATTCTAGGAGCTTCCCTCCAGAACAATCAGAGTCAGAAACCACAGGTTAGCCTTTGGGCTCCAGCCTTGGTTCTGTAGCTTTGAGCATGCATCAAAACCTCTCTGAGCTTTAGTTCTTTTCATTTGCAAAATGAACTTATGATACCTGTTGCTGTTTTCTGTTTGTTCCTCATGTCCACCCCTGCACCTTTCTCCATTCTGCCAGCTATCCCAGGAGGCATCCTAAATGGTCTTATCAACCTTGCCCTCTGGTTTCCAGTGTTTTGGCAGGAGATCAAGAGCAGCAAAAAAGATGGGATGAGATACCAAGGGTACCAGGCTGCAGGACCATGCTAGTTCATGGACTGGTTTTGTCTATTCCTCTGCTTTGAGCCTAGGCTGCTTCTTCTATGGGTGGGGGTATCTCTGGATTCTGGGAACTGCTCTCTCCCCTCATCCTTTCCATCCCTTGCTGTTCCCAGCCTTGGAGTGCATCACCAAATTTCATCAGTTTCCCTGAGCACAGTTCACATCCTGCAATCCATCCTTTCATTAAAGCCTCTTCAATAGTTCACTTAGAGTGTGCTGCTCCTGTGGACCTGTTATCTACTGTAGAGAACATTGGACAATGGTGCTGATGAAGCCCCTCTGTACACTGCAGAGCACACAGTAGGGCCCAGTGAACACAGTTATATCTGTCGAGTGAGATAGACTCTGCCCCTAACTCTGAGACTGACTCCAGTGTCAAGCACATGAACAGTGACATGCTGGGTTTATGTATGATGTAGGTGAAAGGATACGGGAGTCAGGGTACATGGGGCATGATTCTCAGCAAGTTATTCATGCTCCATTTGAGTGTCCACTGCCCGCAACAAACTTGGGTCAAAAATATCTGTCTTCTAAAGTTGTAGTAGTGTTCAGAGAGACATACCACCTGGCACAGAACAGGTACTCAAGCGATGCCCAAGTATTATAGGCTTAAAAGAATGAATGGGCAGGTGGTCAGTAGGATGTGTCATCTCTGACACCGTTGTCTTCTTTTTATGTTTACAATCATTGTGAACAAGAAAGTTTGAGGTTTGTGTCCAACTTACTGTTTTCTCAAAAAGCAGCTTTGAGGTCATGTACACAAACACATTCTTCAGAAATGTGCACACCAAATACATTCTACAGAAAAATTCTTACTTTAGACAGAAGGAATTAATGAGGATTGATGAACAGAATGAGAGCAACAGCTCCTACCTTTTCACCTCGGTCACCTTTCAGCCCTGGAAGTCCCAGTTCACCTTTTTCTCCCTACAGTAAATGATAAAATTGGCAAACATTAGAACCCAAATTAAGCTAAATTCCCACCTCCTCCAGGTAAGAGCAACATGACCTCAGGCAAATTACATATGTGTGCATGTGTGTGTGCCTGACATGCCCTTGCCTGATGAGTAAAGTGGTCACTGCAAAGTCTAACTCAAGGTGGGTTCCTGCCTGTTAAGTGTGAAGCATCAAATTCTTCACTTGGCACTTGACAGGTGATGCCTCTCAACCCTCATTCCCATCAGTCTCATCTAAAGATGTTCAGCCCTAGCCAGGCTCGGTGGCTCAGCCTGTAATCC